TATTAAAAATTTAAATATTTGTAATTTATATATATATATATATATATATATATATATATATATATATATATATATTCAGAGGGAATACACACATACGTGTACATTTGAACATTTAAAAATATTTATGTTTAACTAAAACAACAAAAATGTCTAGAATCAAGTATTAGTTATTAGTTTCCAGGGATTAGTATTTTAACCTTACGTGAAAAAAAATTCAGGGTTTAAATTATATTTAACATGAAGTGTGACCACCGCGGTTTTTCTTTTTTGAGAGCGTGTAATAAACGCCCGAAACGGTAAGAAAAGAAGAAATTAGCGTAGAAACCAGTGAAATTGTTTCGTAACGCGCATCACACATACGTGTTAAAATATGTCAATCCACGGTAGAATGCCGAGACGTGACTTGATCCGCGGAGCCGAGATATACGAGTCGCGATACCAGGGGAATGTTAATTAGTTAATTAAAACGTTTTCGTCCGTTTCTACGTTGGGATATATTTAGATAAGCCGCGTGTCCTATGGCGTGCGCTTTTTGAGGGAGAACCGGACCGTGATTATATTCTGGTCCCCTGTATAGTTGAGGCGTACGAGATAAGTCCAAGACGGACCGACTGGTCCTCCTCTTGGACTCGTCGCATTCACAGGCGGTAACGATGACTCGATTATTCTAACCTCGTAAATATTTTACGCGCGCACAGCGGAATTCGTTTCGCTTCTTGCTGCAATTATTCTTTAGTATTTGTGGATTCGCACAATTCACGCGACGTAAGAAGCTAGTTAATCGCGACTGCGATCTTGAAAGATGACTTTGAGGAACGAGTAATCTCGAAGTCGAATTTAAATCACTTTCATATCGAGCCACTCTTCTGCCTGCGAGGAAGTTTTCTCACGTACTTTTACAGCAACTGATGATATAATTACGCGTTAACACGCGCGCGGCAGGGCAGATACGCCGTGTAAGACGGGCGGAAAAGTAAAGTTTGCGCGCGTTATATCAGATAACATCGTAAGATTAATAATTCAATTATCGGGTGCGTGCAGGTATGCGCGCGGACGCGAACACGTCCGCCGGAATTTGCCGTTTAACTTATTATCATTTGATGTTTACGCGTGACTCGCGCATGATTAATGGCGACCAGCGACATTGAATGGAATTCGAAAAGAGGAATGGTACCGCGCTCGTATCCAGAACGACACGTGGTCGTTCGCGCCGGTCGGGGTCGCGCCGGTTGAGACACAGGCCTCCACTTTCGTTGTGCGCGGACAATATTATTACCGAGTATTATGCGTGGCCCATTACGTAAGTCCGCGCGCGATTTACATTATCCGTGCACACAGGCGTTATTGAAAATCGCGGCTAAGAACTAGCACGTGATTATAATCTTGACATTGATCGCAGATAACGCCCGACGCAGGTCTCTATCATCGATCATTAGTTTCTCTCTACCGGACGTCCACCTAGATTCTGTGGCGGCCTCAGGAACATTCCGAGCAGAGAAAACCGACATCGCGCCGTAGCGGTGTATGAAAGGCCGGCTCGTTTATCCGTCCATATAACGCGGCGAGACGTTCGCGTAGAATAGAATTGTATGAAAGGAGAAGTCGCCAGCTTCTCGAGAAAGATTTTATAACCGCTTATTCTATCCGCGGCTCGCGCACACACGACGTGTGTGACGAATCTGTACTTAGGAAAATAGTAGGACTGTCTCTCCTGTGAATAGAATATTAATTCTTTCTCTCGCGCGTATGACTCGAATCAAAGTGTTTATTCTCACAAGATGTTCTCCTGTTAATTTCTTTAATATATTTTATTCATTCGATACCTCAACAATGTAAAAAACCGTAAGTGTTATTTGTAATACAGAAGGGACTTTCGTTCAGTTGAGATCAAATGGAGAAAAGAAGAAGGAAACTTCGTCGAGGGCAAGATAAATAACGTAAATATATTCATGAGTAAAATATTAATGAAATAAGACTGTTAGCGCACTGAGAGAAAAATATCTAAAAATTAAAAAAATATTTATTTGGTGGCCACTAATAACATATTTACTTGAATCGAAATTCTTTTATTTAAATAAAACAAACAATTGCTTTCATATGAAAAACTAAGTTTTTAAAAAAATATATAATTGTCTTATTTTAAGAAATATTTTATAACAGTACAAGTAAATATGTTGTTATTAGTATCCACAGAATAAATATATTTTATTTCTTATATATTTTTTTCTCAATATAAAGTCCATTTCTTGCTAAGGCATATAGTAAATTTCGTCAGAAATATAGCAAATTTTTAATAGCATATTTCAGAGAGAATTCCTGTAAATAATAAGTAGATTTGAAATGAAAGGATAATAAATTACTACAGAATATGTGTCAATGTATTCTCTGGTTACAAAGTTCTATAATAATTTTTGTCATAAACTTTTCTCCGTATACAAGCAACAATCGTTACGCGCAATCGGTAGCACGATGTATTCGACGTGTATCCGCGCCAATGTGATTTCATCCGAGGCACTTGTTAACCGCGATATTTACACGCAGCTCCTGGCGAAACCCTCAGCGAAGGGACAAAGACCAGATTTGCGTGGGCCAATGCACCGTGCGGCATCGTAGCAATTACTCGCCGATTCCGTCGTGCACGGACAGGAATCTTCATCGGTCATCGGCGATCCGGATGCCCGTCACGTGGCGGCGTTTTGTGTGAGTACTACCATAAGAACCCTGCGAGAGCGGTCCATTGAATGGAAGTTCTGGCAAGGGGATCAAGAGAGGAGAGAGAAAGAGAGAGAAAGATGGCACGAATACGACGGAGACGAGCAGAGACGTACGAATCCTGACGGCCGTGGCATCGTTTAGTCTATGCAAACGTCGAGATATTGCCGACGACGACGTGACAGGCCAACCCGTCTCGCCATCTCGCTCGGCCCCACGGTAATTAACTTTTAGACACGCCGCGTGACTTCCGCGAGATTCGCAATCGATCGGGTTTCCACGCATTCCGTCGGCTCCGACGAAAGAGACGAAATCGCAATTGCCATGAAAGATCTTCAGATCTTTTACGCGATGGATTTACGAGCGAACGGTCGCCTAGCCTCGATTCACTTTGCTTACCTCGCTCATAAGAGGTAGTAACATATTTCAGCTTATATTTCGGTCGGCAGATCGTGTCTACGATTGTCTCGGAGCCTCGTTGGTATGCCGAAGGAAGAGCCGTCGGTAGTGTCGGTAACGTGCGTCGCGCGCGCGCGCGCGATAGCTCGTAAACTAGCACGTAATTTCTCGCTGCCTAGCGATTTTAATTACAAACGGCCGCGAGAATCGCCTCGCCAAGTTTTCGCGCTGTCGTAATGCGCTCACGTCACGAGCCGCGCGATCTGGTCGCTCCGCGAGGGAATCGCGACTTTTTTTCCATTCGATTTATCTTCATCGCCGCCTATTATGCTTATAAGATGGCTCAGGATGAGGCGCGCATACAAAGCTCGCATACAAATCGCGTCGGTGGGCCGGGGTGCCTTATGAAACGCAATACTTTTACGTGGTCGCTTTCAAAAGCTCGCGCGTGGAAATTAACTGCGCGTTGCCGCGCGTAAGCGACTCGTACGACGACTTGCGCGAGAAAGGAGGATCGAGAAAAGGGCGAGAGAGAAACGGAGCAAGAGAGAAAGAGAGAGAATGTGTATATATATGTGTGAGAGAGAGAGAGAGAGAGAGAGGGGGGGGGAGGCAAAGCTGGTCGGCAAGAAATTCCTGCGATTTAATGGGATTCTTTGATTGCTACTTGATGCCGGTCGCTATTCAGTCGATTCGTACACCACTCACGTATACCGGAGGCATTCGTAAGAATCGCGGTTTCTGCCGGCGGGATTTAGGCGCGCGTTCGCGTCGATTTCGCCGCGCGGATTTTCCCGCTTCCCGGACGGAGAATGGAAGAGAGAAGTCTGAGGGGACAAGCGGCGATCGTTGACTTAAACGTGGATTATTAATAGAACGCCCGGATGTTTCCCACGGAAGAATCGCGCAAGCAACTTTTATCTCCATTATTACCGGCAGCAGCGGCGGGGGAATGCGAGACGTACCTTGTGTATCAGATAGCCAACAGCTCGTGAAATATTCTAAGTGAATAAGTACATTAGTGATAATGAGAGAACACACTAACGCGGGAATATTCGGCGAACGCGAGACGCGCACGCTTGCGAATATAATAACCACGCGATCATGCCACTCCCTCCGTCTGCTTCGTTACGTAATACCTCACGTTACATCACGACCACTCGCGCAGTGATTGCGAATTCGGTCTTAAAATTTCCAGCGATAATCGCGCCGTCGTTGCATCTCGACGAGATGACGAAGAATACGCACTCAGTTGTCTTCGATTTTCGACGTTCCTTATTTCCGCGTGCGAGAACAATAACACGTTCCCCATCGCGTTCTTCCTTTTGATTGGGCATTTCCATTATTTCATAAAAACGGCTAATATACACCTGTGCACTCAATGAACGCAATATTGCTGGGAAGCGCGATCCCGAGCGAATTCTGTGACATAACAAGAGAGATCGCAATTGCTCGCCTCCTCTCACAGAGAGCGAGTAAAGCGATTCGACCCGCGCCAATCGCGACACGGTAATATTTATAGCCAAGGAAGCACCTAGAGTAACCAGTCCAGTAATTGAACAGCATCTAATAAATGAACAGTTTGCAGTATCTATTGTAATATTAAAGAGATTCTATATTTGGCATCTTCTTACTATTACAATACGAGATCGTATTAAGAAAGTTATATACGCAAAAACTTTATAGAAAATACGTTGAAATATAAAATGATATACTTACAAAATGGCATTTGCAATCAATCGAGTAGACCTGTAAAATAATTCAAACACTTTTCTTTTAGTTTAACAATCAAAACCGTAAAATTAACGTGATAAAGTTACTAGAAAAGATAAGATAAAGAAGAAGATTGCATGTCACATTAATTCTACGACCATCAATTTTGTCCGAACAAGAGCGAAGTGTTCGGACTATTTCATAAGCCTGCTTGACCAATTGCAAATGCACTTTATGGATACATCTTTTTATTTCAACGTACTTTGCAAACTATTTTTAGCGTTTTCTTATGTCATTGATGGAAAGTCCCGTGACGAGGAAGAGCAAGGCAGCCTTAAGTGTTCATTTACCGGACAGGTCACCCTATTCTTCGTCTCGTACGATCACGCGGATCGTTCGAAAACGGCAGAAAACATCCCTCAGCCCGCGATCGACTGTCAAAAATAAAATTCGCGGAATCCGCCGCTCTGCCTTCTCTCGTCCGCAACGCAAGCACCGCGCTTCGTTAACGCCGAAGCTGCACGAGATCGTTAATAAGCGATCGCGCTCTAGCTCGACCCTTGGAGTTTTCACCGAGTTTGGAGGGAGAAAGTTGGAGAGGGAGGGAAGCGGCCCGCCAGGCTGAACGCTCAATTTCCTGAGCGGATAACGATCGGGCCCGGTACGAGGGAGTCTAAGAACTCTGTCCGTAATTGACAGGTGACTCCTTCCACCGCGTCGACGTAGCGGTGTGTTTCGGACGCCCTTAAAGTTGGAAACCTTCGGCCGGCCCATAATAACTGTGGGAGCCTCTGCCTCCCTCTTGCTTCCACCGATCGCGTCCTTCCTGTCTCTCCTGGCTTCTCCCTTGCGTCTCGTTCTTTTTTACGAGCCCTCTCGCTTTCGTTCGAGCCTGGGCCATCGAATAAGAGTGAGAGGATCGATCTTCATCCTTCACCCTTCCTTCTCATCCCATCCCGTTTGCCTGCTCTATCGTCGTCCTCGTTGTTCCCCTTGCCGCGCCCGTTGCTCACGTCGCTCTCCTTCCACTCTTCGGCACGTTCTTACGGGCGCTAAACGGATTTCGATAAGTTTCCGTCCGCGATGCCAGCGACAGGTAGGAGAGAAAGACACCTGTTGATTCTTGTCCTTAACACGGCTGAAAATGGCTCCCCCCGGCTCGTCTCGTTAAAAAGCCACCTAGCTCGCTCCCAATATATCACTGCGGTGGCATCTACACGTCCGATATGCCGAAGGGGTCCCCCAGAAAATCGGCGTCTCCTAGGGTTAATGGGATCTCAACCAATCCTGAGTTAGACGTCGTCAATGTCATCGTTCTCCATTCACTGAGCGATCGACAGTTGGTGATGTTGAAGAATGATCTTTCAGATAGTAATCTCTTTAATGATTATAAGGAAAAAAGGTAACAAGGACGGAGAATTTCGTAACAATTCTAGCAGAATTTTAATGCAATACGTGGGAATATAACTTTCCCAACAATTCTCCCTTTATAATGTTTTTTTGGCTTTTTTTTATAATTTTCTTTAACCTTCTAAATGTTGGGTCTGTGAGACTCAAGCGAATATTCGACCGCATCAACTTTTATAAAGAGTCCGAGAAAGTTCCAAAATTGTACATCTGTTTGTAGATTTTATCATACTACTTTCTTATAGTTGAAACCATTCTATATCTTTGGAGGAAAAATGTGCTTCAAAATATCAATTTTCAACTAAGTTATAATAGTTCAAAATTGCTCGGGTCTGACAGACTCATATTGTACTACATGTCTCAAGAAATATGTACGTGCAATATTAAAAATACCGCGAATAGTTACATTTCAAGAATACATTTCAAGTTTCGAACAACTTGACCAATTTATTAACACTCAATGTGGGTGGATAGTTTAAAAAGTTCCACGTGGACGCACGATTCACGAGGCGGTGAAGAAGTGCGTCACGTCGCGTCGCAGGCAGCTGCCAAGATTTCGTGGCACCGGCCACGATTTCGTTGGAGCTCTAACGATCGTGTTTGAAAGCCGCGAGGGGGTAGCCGTTGCCTGCCGGCCATCGCCGGCGGGTTCGAGGAGTCTCGTTCCCGACGCGGAGAGATTAGATAGGTCCTTACTCGGATTTTT